GTTACATTCAGGGTTTCAGTTTCATGAGCATTGCAAACCTATTCTATGTGGCCAGAATGAAGCAGTTTCAGGTTCATCCTCAACTGTAGGGTTTCCTTGGCTAGGGAGACTCTTTAGAGAACACAAAGTCCAGCCCTTGGAAAAACAGAGGCCTTAGAGAGAGCCAAGTCACCCAACAGACACGGGAAACCTGGGAGCTCATTCACACGGTTTGTTGTCTCCCAGCGCTTGGCTATGCCTTCTTCTCAGCACACTCCAATAATCATTGTTTGGGGTGGGTATCTGGAGGATGGTGGCATCCCCATCCTAGCATGGAGTGCCTGATTCAGGTCAGGGTGACTGCTGCTTTCCCAGCTTCCTCTAATGTGGGCCCTGAGAGGCAACAGGTGATGATTTAGTCCTAGGGTACCTGCCACCCACATGGGAATCACGGGTAGAGTTATGGCATTCCCAGCTGTGGCCTGGCCTAGTCCTGGCAATGAGGTATTTGGGAAGTGAACTAGTAGTTGGGAGATCTTCGTCTCCCTCTGGTTTCAAATAAATGGAATAAACAAATATATTAAATAAAGATATTCATTGGGGACTGGTGTGTTGGCTCAACTGGTTAATTCACCACCAAGCGTCGGGATCCAACTTGGGCACCAGTTTGTATTTCAGGTGCTCTACTTCTCTTCTAGCTTCCCACTGTGGCCTGGAAAATCAGTAAAGAATGGCCCCAAAGCCTTGGGACCCTGCACCTATGTCCTGTGAAGAGTCCTAGGGAGACTTGGAGGAATCTCCTAGCTTCCAATTGGCTCAGCTCTGGCCATTGCAGCCATTTTAGGAGTGAGTCAGCAGATGAAAGATCTTTCTCTCTCTCCTTCTCTCCATAAATCTGATCTGCCTTTCCAATAAAAACAAATAAATCTTAAAAACAAAAAAGGCATTCGTTGGTTGGTTTCTTACAGGTGCTGCTTTTCTCCAGCTCACCATATATTCTCAATGCACGGCCCTTCCTCCATCACTGACTCTGTCTTAGGGGATCACTTTGCACCTGCTTTGAGACTGTCCTGGAAGCTGAGAGGAGGCCAGGTGAAATCTAACCAGGTCCTATCGAAGCATTATCTCTCCAGGCCAACACTACAGGAACAGAGCCCAGACACCCAGCTGGCCCCTTCTGTACTGTGCAAGGTCAGTGCCCATCAGGCTGCCCGCTGAAGCTACAGGCACTGGCACAGTGGGTGCTCCTACCGCATCTGCAGTGCCCCTAGGCCAAGGCCACACTGCTATTAGCAGTCAGGCCACTACTGACCTCCTCCCAACAGGAAGCTACAAGGGGATGGAGACTTCCCTTCCAGTCTGCCCACTTCAGCCTCTGAGGACCCTCCCTTCCCTGCCCTACCTCCCTGCCCTGTCTGGGGCATCAGCCTGGACTTCCCAGCTTCTGCAGGCTAGGGACACTTCCCTCCCTTAGCATGTCTGTGGGCTCCCTCTAGACTGTCGCCAAACGTGTGAACCCACACAGCGACTCCCTGCCCCACTGTCCCAGAAAAGGTATGATTGGGGAGAGGAGTGGAGCAGAAAGAAGCAATGGCAACAAAGGAAAAACTACTTATTGTCTTGTTTTTAGATTTATTTTTTTGAGACAGAGTAACACAGAGGACAGTCAGAAAAAGATCTTGAACCCCTGGTTTGCTCCCCAAAAGGCCACACTGGCTGGGGTTGGGCCAGGCTGAAGCCCAGAGTCTGGAACTGCTTTTGGGTCCCTCACGTAGGTGGCAAGGGCTCAAGCACTTGGGCACTGTTGGGTTGAACCAGAAGCGGAGCAGCAGAGGTTCAAACCATCACTGTGATATGGAGTACTGGTGTCACAGGCAGTGACTTAACGTGGTATGCCATGAGGTTGGCCCCAAAATAGTTCCTTTTACTAGTAGATTTTAAATAAGTACTTAAAACAGAGAGAAAAAAATGTTGGCTTTTCATTTCTTGCCTAGGTGGTGACATGTTAGATAAGGATGATTTCTGGCCACTCAGAGCCTGCTGCAATGACACCAGAACCGGGGTGAGTTCCCCCTGCTCCCTGCTCCCGTCCCAGGCACCTGCAGTCCATTAATTTTGCACCCAGCAGCTCTGTGAACCTGAGCTTGCAGGCTGAGCACAGGGTCAACTACAGAGCAGAGAAGGGGCCACACCAAAGGAGAAGCCAAGAAAGGCCCAGGCATCATTCCCAAGAGAACGTAGGCTAGAGACCTACAGAGCCTTCCTCTCCAAGATCCCTTTCTTGGCATCATCAGAGGCCATGCCAGCAAATGCTCAATAGACAAGAACATCAGAGTTGTGAACAGAACAGATAGAGGATCCTAAGAAGTGTTATTAACTTAGAGGTAAAGCTGAGACCCTGGGTGTGGAGGGTACAGGTTATATTGTGGAGGGCCGGGAGCAGTAAGGTGCGGGCATAGGGACCCTGGCTGCCCAAAGCAACCTGGGCAGTAGTAGCAAGGTGCAGACCATGAAAGGTTGTCAGCTGACATGGAGCAGAGTGAGGCTAGGATACGGGTGGGGTAATAACAGAAGACTAGCATAGGCCTAGGGTTCCTTGCAGGCCAATCGAATGAACTTTACACACTAAGACAATTCACTCTGAGGAATACTTCCTGCTGCACTGAGTGTGCAGAGAAAAAAGCTCAGGGGGTTATTCTGGGCCTGAAAGACCCTTTGACACAGAGGACAGCCAACTCAACACTTTGCTGGGACACAGCCAGCTTTGGAGCCTTATCTTTGATGGCTCTTGCAAGGCCCAACAAGGGCCCCAAGGTCACCTGTTTGGAGGGTAAGTCTGCTGCCAGAGGACACCAAGGCAGGAATTTTAGCATTTTGGCTATCTGGAGAGCCCCAGTTACCCCAGGTGCCACACCCCAGAGCCAGCAGGTGCACTCCAGAGATGCTTCACATTCTACACATTGCTTAGCCTATCCTCACCTCTGGAAGGTGTGATGCAAAAGCCAGTGTGAAGCCCAGGCCCCAGACAATCCCATTCTTGTTTTTTTTTTTTTCCCCTGGCAGGTGGCATGCCTGTCACATAATGTGCAAAACTGGCACTGACAGCAAGGTATGCAAAGGAGAATTTGTTGAATGGAGACACTCCAGTGCTTCTATTCACAATTTGGTAAAGCCAGGAAATTGTCCAGATGTTAAAGCATTGAAATAACTCACTGCTGAGCCAATGAGGCACACACTCTCAGAGGGACAAGCCAGTGGGAGAGTTAGGCATGTTTAGACAGTTCCTGTGGAGGCGGAGTGGGGACAGTAGGTAGGTTCTAGTGCCCAGATAACTAACCGGCCTCCAGGACTCACTCTGCTACTCCTAAAACCACAGGTGGGGATGAGTGGCTGAAGTCTCTGGACCTGCTGTCTCCCACCCTTCCCCAGGAGGGAAGCTATGCCCTTGGGTGCAGGAACCCAAAGAGCTGCCCTACAGAGTATGAATTCAACTGTGGGCTTTCTTTCCAGACACGGCCTCTAGGATGTCATAAGCCCAGAAGGCAAACTGACTGGAAAAGCAACAATTCCATTCATCCTTAGAGACCCAGGCCAAGCCCCACCTCCCCTGTGGTCTTCCTTCTGTCTTCTAAACACACCCCTCAGCCAGCCCACTCCAGCAACTGGACCATTTCCTACCCAGCCACTCCAGAGGGAGCTTGGGAATTAGGTCTCTTCACTCTGGTCTGGAGCCTGAGTCAGATGCTCACCCTGGGTCTCTATGCCTTTGTTGGAAATCTTAGTAAATCTTCTGGCAGGTGCCACCTCCTCCAGGAAGTTTGACCTGCTTGATTCCTACCCCTACCCATCCTCCATCCCAGCTGGCTGTTCCCCCAGGAATGTTCCCTTAGCACTTTGTGGGTGGCTCTAAGAAAGTGCTGAAGTATGGCTTCTGCTTTTCATGGCTGTGACTGGCTGTACTAGCATGAGTTCTTTCTCGTGTGTGTGTGTGTGTGTGTGTGTGTGTGTGTGTGTGTGTGTGTGTGTGTGTGACAAATGACACAGGAGTGCATTCCTAGATGTAGGTGGTTCGGAGAAAGTGCTCACCAAATTTCGCCCGAATGAACTAATAGACGATGTCTAGCTTCACGGAGCCAGACACCAGACAGGCCCTTCGATGTGTCCCCCATCCCCTGGCATCTCACATTTCTTCAAAAGCTCCCTCTCTATCGAGCTGCGTTTTAATCCCAACACCAGTGATTTAGCCATGTGAGCACTGAATGGTCCATCGCCTCTGATGACTCTCCCCTTAACCAAGACCCAGGCCCTTCGCCTGGCCAATGCAAAACCAACTCAACTGGCTGAAAAGTGCATACCGAATGACAACATCTCGCGTCTGCCACGGAGAAGCCCCAAATGTGAACGTTTAACACACACGGTCTCAGTAACAGACGGCGCTGACAGGGCCCCAGTGCGCGCACAAGCCCCCCTCCTGTCTGTCTGCCTGTGTGTGTGTGTGTGTGTGTGTGTGTGTGTGTGTGTGTGTGGTGGGGTGACTGCACTAGAAGCACAGACGTCCTCGTCTAGCTAGCCGTTTCCTGCAATCCTGAACCGCGCCTACCGCCGCCCCCAACCCCTCCCGCCGCCAGCCCTGCTCCGCCTCGGTTCTTAAAGCCACAGAGGAGACGGCCTAGGACCGCGCCAGCGCGGGGCGACCAGCTCTAGCATACTAGCCTGGGTTACCCCGGCGCTGCAGGTGGAATTCTCGTGTCCCCGCGGTCTCCGCGCCGCCCGGATCTCCTGGGCCCGCCATCCCGGTGAAGAAAGGCGGACTACGTTTCCCGGCAGGCCTGCGGCCGCCCTCTTCCCTCTCAAGTGTGCGCACGTGGCCGGAGGGGAGGGCGGGGCCTGCGCGTCACTCTCCTACATTCTTTCCCTGTGTCAGAACCGAGCGCGTTTTTTTTTCCTTCCTTTACTCCCTCCCCACCCCGCCCGCCCCTCCCTCCCTCCGTTCCTTTCCTCCCTCCCTCCCCTCCCTGCTGAGCCCTGCGCTGGGGCGCACCGTCCCCTTCGCAGCTGGGACGAGTCGAACTCCAGGCAGGAGACGTCGCTCCCTAGCCTCGTCCCTCCCTTCCCTTTCCCTGCCCCTTCCCCCACCCCCGGCTCGGGCTCGCGCGGCAGCCACTGGAACCCCCCCGCCCCCCGAGGTGAGCATCGCCCCCCGTGCGATCCCCCTCCCCCCTTTTAGTCAGCGGCGCTGGCGATCGATTCAGGGACCCGGACGGAGGGTTGCGGTGACGTGCGCGTGCTTTCAGACAAATCCGGGAAAACCGCCTCAAACAATCGGCCCCTATCCCCCTCTCCGCCCCTGGGCCAGCAGGGCGGTCGCACCCTCCCGCCCCCCGGCTCCGGCATCCCTCCTCAGGGGACTATGCTCCACCCTGCCGGCCCCGGTCCTGGCTAAGCTCCCTTCTCCACAGGGATTCCCGGTCGTGGCGGTGGTGGGGGTGGAGGAACCGTGGCCCTGCGGCTGGGGCGCAGCTGGGGGCTCTGAGGGAAAGGGGGGCGCAGCTGGAGTCCGGCTAGTGTCAGAGGGCGCGGCGGAGCCGCTGTCAGGTGCGGGGTTCCGACCGCGGGAGACAGGGAGCGAGCGTGACTCCTCTCGCTTTTGTTGTAAAGCCGGCATTTGCTGCGTCCGAGCAGTTGGTCCAGTGGCCGGACAAACTTGCAGCTGTTGGGCCGTGCTCGGGCGAGGTAGGGAGCGCGGCCCGGGTTTCGGTGAGGGTGTCCCCAACCGCCCCTGCCGCCTGGCCCCTGGCTGGCTGCTCCGGAGTGCCTTCCAGTAGCAGCGCGCACTGCTGTCTGGGGGATAGTTGCCGTCTAGACAGCCTGCAGCCCCCACCCTCCGTCCCCAGGAGCCCCCATGGACACGCGCCCGGGAGATGGGAGTCGGGGCCAGATCGAATTGGTAGGATCCTCTGTGCTCGCCGATTGGGAATTTTGCGAGCTTATTATTATTATGTAGTATTGTTATTGTTATGATTGTTCCTGTCCCCCCGGTGTCATGGGTCCGGGGGAGCGGGCAGTGGCGGAGCCGCATGAAGTTGACAGGCTCGGAACAGCCGGCTTTCTGTGGCCAGGGCCTGGAGCGCTGCAGGGTGGGCTCCAGCCAGAGCTCGTCAGCACCAAGAGCAGGTGACTGTGCCCGGCGTGCGGGTCCCTGCCTAGAGCGGCCAGCGGGGGGGGGGGGGGCGAGGGTAAGGGAGTGGATGGAGGCTGGAGCTGCAGGAGCTCTGGGCCGGCGAGGGCCGCGTATGGATGGATGCCTGGATGAGACTGGGGGCGGGGATCTCGCGTCTGAGCCGGGTGTTGCTCTCCAGTGCCACTGGGAACATTCGGATCCGAGTCCCTTGGCTGAGCGGCGTAGGCTCTGTCAGGCTTCGAGGAGCTTTCAGGTCAGGTCCTGGGGGTGGGTGTGTGAGGGGAGGGGCGCAGCGTGCAGGGGGAGGGCTGACTGACGGTGCTTCCCCACCCCTGAAGCGAGCCGTCGCCTCCTTGCAGGCTGTGTGTGTGTGTGTGTGTGTGTGTGTGTGTGTGTGTGTGTGTGTGTGTGTGTGTTTACGCACCGCTCCGTGCCGTGTGAGTCCGTGAGCGCGTGTCCTACAATACAGAGAGGGTTCGTGGTCCGGGGAAATCCTTGGGGGTTTTGTGTGCCCCTCCGTTGTGCCGGAGTCTCCAAGCCCACTATGCTGCCGAGTCACACCGAACCCCGCCGGGCTGAGAGCCGTCTCCCTGGAGGTGTTGGGGGCAGGTCGGCTGGGCGGGGAGGAGCTGCGGGCGCACAGGTCGCCCCCGCCCCTAGTCTGCCCGCCAGGCTCTTTGACCCTTGCACTGGGTGCGCGTGCTCGCGTGTGTTCCCGCGCCGCCGTCTGCACAGACTCTGGAGTGAGCGCGCTCTGCGCCCTCTCCCAGGCTCCAGTCTGGGGACCGCTGGGAGGGACCAATGTCTACCCTGCCGTGCCGCGCCCTCCCAGGGCTCAGCCCACCGATGCAGCCCTGATTTCAGAGCTGAGTCTACAGCCTAGGGGGTGGATTAGCTCAGGGGCTGGAGGCCTTTCGAGCTGGGAGGAAGCCGCCAGAGCTTCTGGCCAGCGGTCGCTGGAAGCTCAGCTGGGTGAAAGTGACACAGCACAAGCGCTGCTGCGGCAGCCGCAGACCCCCGGAGCAGGAGGTGGGAGGTGGGCGGAAGGAGCCGTCCAGGGCGCAGGGAGAGACCGCCCCGCTCCAGGGCCGCCCGGCGGTGGCCTCAAGCCTCAGGAATCCAGGCTGGGAGGATTGGGCTCCGCGGGCAGCTGGGGTGGAGGTGGGAGAGTGGGAGAGTAGGGGGGGGGGTTGTTTCTGGAAAACTCAACTGCACGGGAACGGAATGCACCGGATCGGAGTGAGAAAGGCATCCAGGGCACACCAGGGTTGCCTGAGGAAACTCCCAGGGCCTGTTTGAAGCAGGATTAGATTTACACACAGATCGTCTATCGCCCAGGTCAGGTGTCTACCCTGGATAATGTATGTGCAGACACAGTAGTTTTGGAACATGTTCCAGGGGTACCGCGTCCTCGGTGGTTAGCAGATTGCTGACATAATCATATGCCTGTCTGACTACATGGCAGACTCGCCCCTCCCCGCCTAACCATCCACACCTGTTACTGCATTTATTAAGAGGATCCTGGGAGCTGGCGGAGTATTCCTTCTTTGTGATTTCTCTTGGTGGAAGTCTGTGCCTCTTATTTATATAGGAGTGACCACTTTTTGACATCCCTGGAAGTACTGAGCCTGGAACAGGGTGACTCATGCTCATACTTACTGGGGAGGGGGCAGATGTTTTGGGGTTGGTGTTGCTGGCAGTTTCCGGTGAGAAAAGCCACTGAAGAGTCTGTCATCCAGCCACTCGGGTGCTGCTGGAGGATGGAGACCGGCTGTGGACATCCAGTGCTTCCCAGGGCCCCATATGCATGGAAGGCCTGCTTAGGACACACGTGTTTATGCAGTGCACATCTGTGTGTTGTATGTGTTCATGAAGCCCTTACTGAATCCAAGGTTCAAAATTATTATATTTTATTTTGTTTTTTCAAGAAGATTTACTTTTCATTTATTTCAAAGACAATGACAAAGACGAAGATCTTCCATCTCTTGGTTTACTCTCCCAAAAGGCCACAAAGGCTGGGGCTGGGTGGAACTCTGGGTCTTCTGTGTGTGTGTCAGGAACCTAAGAACACAGGCCATCTTTCTTTGCTCTCCAAGGCACTTTAGCAGGGAGGTGGAGCAGAGCTCACTCAGGGGATGCTGGTGTCATAGGTGGCAGCTTAACCCCTGCTGTGCCAACATGTGGGTCCTGGCCATTGGATTTACAGTGAGAGCCTCTGAGAAAACATTGCAGGTTGTACTCCTTGAACTCCAAAACCAGCTTGGAGTTCATGCATACCAAGGTTCTCAGCCAAGCCTGAGGGGCATTCAGATGAACCCGCTGGCTTACCACTCCTTCACAACTCTGTATTGGACAATACATGTTTGTGTGTTTAGAAGGACACAGAAAATTTAACACATGGCCCCAGTCATGTGTTACATGCTAAAGACATAGTCCACCCCATAGAGATAAATGTAAGGGTTTAAGTCCAGCATAGGTTTATGAAAATCATTTGATTGAAGGTGGGACTTACAATTTGATACGTCAGCTGATTTTTTTAAGTCAGCGATTTTGTAAGGGTGGTGAATGATGCTATAAACATCCAAACAGTCTCTGGCAGAAGAAAGGCTCCCCACCCCTGCAGGAAGGGATCATGCTGTTGCCTGTCATCCTGGACTTCAAGCCATATGCACTGTTTACAGCAGGTGTGTCCTTGTGTGGACCTCAGGGTTGCTGATGGGAAACGACTGGCTTGTCAGATGCCACCACAGCTGGTTTCTCGGAGCAGGGAGTTGCTGGGCCAGCATCTCCAGGGCCCTGCCCAGTGTGGTGTGCTGTGATTCACCAAGTAGGAGGCTGTGGCTCCCATCAAAGACTCACCCTGGGCCCTGCCTGGGCTTTGTGGTTCTGTCTTACACATCTGTGTGGGTGCTTGCATAGGGGCCTGCTTTTTTGTTGTTTGTGTTTTGTTTTAATCCATTCCCAGGCTTGCTTCTGCGATCCCTGTGTGGGTTTGGGGGTCCATCACCCTTTGTTTTGGTTTGTGTTGTTTGCAGTCCAGCTGCAGGAAATGGGAGGTTAGGATGGAGAGTTCCTAAGCCCATAGCAGGGACAGGAGGTACAACTGGTAGGCACACTGTCATTTGGAGGATCCCTGTGCTCGATTAGCATTTCTGCAAGACTTCCTGATCCTTTTTGACCTCATGTTATCAGTGGTGGGTGTGGAGGATGGAGAGAGCACTTGGCTCCTCCACTCCTGGGGCCTGTTGCTGACTCTCATCCAGAGCCCCTTCACTCATATGCAGGCCTGGGCTTTCTTCTGCCCCCTGCTTCCTCTTCCTATAGGTAAGTGCACCGTGCTGTGTCATGGCCTTCTCTGTAGGCTGGCTGATTGCTGTCTGCCTTGAATGCCTCAGGTCAGCTCTGCTGCAGTTCTGAGTTGTGGTTCATAACTGGTGAGTACAGTGCCATCATGGGGTTGTGCCTCCCAGAGCTAGGGTAGAATCACTCTGAGAAGGCCTCAGACTTCAAAGGAGGGTCCCTGGGAGACCCTGGCAGAGCGACACGAGAAAGCCTGGGTTTTGCTGTTGTCCCCAGCCTTCTTTTTGTAGACCATGATGCATTCTGGAAAAAAAATATTCAGGGCCACTGCATGATGGCTCAGTGGCTAAATCCTTATCTTTCAAATGCTGGGATCTGATATGGACACCTATTCATGTCTCGGCTACTCCACTTCCCTTCTAGCCCCTTGCTTATCGCCTGGGAAAGCAGTAGATGGTGGCCTAAAGCCTTGGGACCCTGTACCCACATGGGAGACCTGGAAGAAACTCCTGCTTCCTAGCTATGGATTGGCTCAGCTCCAGTGGTTGCGGTTCACTCCTCCATTTGAGGAGTGAACCAATGGATGGAGGATCTTTCTCTGTATCTCTCCTTTCTTCTTGTAGCTCTGATCTGCCTTTCCAATAAAAATAAATCTTAAAAATTAAATGAAAGTTCAGTCCTTCATTACCAAAGTCCTCCTTCTTG